CCCCCCCTTTCTGGGAAGGGTGAAGGACCCTAAGGAGCAGAGATGAGGCTGGGGGCTGTAGGAGGCTGAAGTGAGGCGGATGGGGGCTGATGGGGGGGGGGGCTGCATGGACGGTGGGTTCTGAGCTGGGATGGTATGAGTGCTGGGAGGGTGCACTGAGTGCAGTGGGGGTCAGTGGGGTGGGGGGACTGGAGTGATGGCGTGGTGACGATGGCGGCTGGGGGGTTGAACTGGGGGGCTGAACTGAGGGGTTGGGTGGGGACAGAAGTGATGGGGGGTTAGGGAGACAGGATTAATTGCTGGGCAGGAGACGGGCACTTGTGGGCTGAGAGCTCCTGTAGCAGGGACCAAAATCACCTTATCCAGTATGTGAGAGAGTGCGGGACACTGATTCTCACATGGGCACACACTAAGCTCTGATGGGCAGGGGAGGGGAGGTCAAACAAGACTGACCTACAAACACAGTATAAACTTTTATTAAAATCTCATGACTTCTGGGCAATTTCATGATTTTGGGAGGTCAGACTCATGATTTTTGATCTCCCCAAATTAGCAATACTGCACTGATGGGCAAAGAGAGAGGTAGCAAATTATGACAGGACCCTGTTGCCTGATTTTAGGAGGTTAATATGAGTTAGCTCATATGGATTATAGGCTCAGATCAGAAGATAAGAAGTTTCTTGTCCCAGAATCAGGCTACATAGAGTTTGCGAGGACCCTTGGGATGTACAACAAGGACACTCACACTGAGACAAATGTAGCCTTAAAGACTTTTATAGAGATACATGGAATAGTAACCAAACAGCAATCAAGTCTTAAAATGATCAGAGTTGCAAAGGCAATAATGTTGGTCTAGAGATACATGTGATATTATGCACTATCAAGCTTTGGATTAATACACTCACAGTCTTGCATTATAACCAGGGCTGACGACAGAATTGCCGGGCTCCTGGGCAAAGGGGGAGCATGACTTTGGGCCCCTGGAAGGGGCAGGGCCTCATGCAGAAGGGACGGGGCTTCAGGCTTCCTGTAGCCTCCCTTTTGCCCCCTCTCCCCATCAGCAGCATTGGGTGCCCCCTACTGCTGCTGGCCTGGCCAACAATTTAAAAGTGGCCAGAAGCCCCGAGCTGCCAGAGGCACTGCTACTGCTCTTTAAAAGCAGCAAGGAGATTCCTGCTGCTGCTTCCCTGGCCGCCCTGGGAGTCCCGGGCCCTTTTCAGTGACCCGGGCCCCTGGGCAATTGCCCCCCCCTTTGCCCCACGCCCTGCCGTCAGCAGCCCTGTTTATAACCCGGAGGTAAGAGACCAAGGACCAGCCTTGCCTCTGGCATGCCACGAGAGTTCAGGTCCAGGTCCCTCAATTCTTGAGTGAGAAGGACAGAGCTTACGAGAAGCTAGAGAGCTAAGAGCTATTGAAGACTGACAAAGCTAACTTAAGAGTTTTAGAGGAACAGCCGTGTTAGTCTGTATTCGCAAAAAGAAAAGGAGGACTTGTGGCACCTTAGAGACTAACCAATTTATTTGAGCATGAGCTTTCCTGAGCTACAGCTCACTTCATCAGATGTTTACCGTGGAAACTGCAGCAGACTTTATATACACACAGAGAATATGTGTATGAATATGTGGGAGGAGGTATTGTTTCATATTCTCTGTGTGTATATAAAGTCTGCTGCAGTTTCCACGGTAAACATCTGATGAAGTGAGCTGTAGCTCAGGAAAGCTCATGCTCAAATAAATTGGTTAGTCTCTAAGGTGCCACAAGTACTCCTTTTCTTTTTAAGAGTTTTACTTATCTGACTGACTTAACACTTACAGTTCAGAACTAACAGAGTAATAAACCAAAGGGCAATAAAGAGAGAACTAAGAAGCCTCTTAGGCATGGTGGGTCACCCTTGTCACAGAGCTTTAACACCTGAGCCCTCTTTCTATGTCCAAACTTCATTTCCTCTCCCACAGAAATGTTGGGGTACCCTTACTTCGTAGGCTGGTACGTTTGTATATATTGATAACATATATACACATATTCATGACATTAGCTCATTCTCTTATTTCTGCCCTACCTGGTTATTTCGGTTCTTTTCCAAGTTCCAAGTTGAGGCATGCCTGTTAAGTTTAAAGAGGGTATGCAGTTAGGTAGCCCCCCATACCACCCTGCTTCAACACATCCTTTACCTATCTGGGTTAAAGGTTGCAACCACATATGGACCTTATGCTTTTACTCATCAGCACCTATCTAGGTGAAAGGTCCTAAACTGACATACACTAACTTTGCCTTAAAACAACATACAGGGCGTGGCCTGTAGGTCCCTTGCACTGCAGCCAAAAATACTCTAATATAAATCTCTACACATTTTATAACCTATTATAATAAAACAAATAGTCAAACCCATAAGAAAATAAGAATCCCATAAGAAAAGATATATAGGCAAATAAGCAAGCTAGCCCTATAGGCTTCAATATCCTCAATCTATCACAACTTTCTACCCCGGTCTAGGAGATGGGGAAAGGTAGAGAATGGGGAAAGGTAATCGTGTTGGGAATGTCCCCAGCCATCAGAATTTACCAGCCCCGGACCACAGGATGGAGAAAGAGCGAGATGGGAAAACGATGATAGAGGAACCCCATTCATCACAGTCTGTTACCGCAGGAGCAGAAAGTGGGGAAAGGTGAGAAGTACCAAACTGTGGTGGGAATGTCTCCACCCATCACAACTTACTGGCCTGGGACTGTAGGGCGGGGAAAGGCAGAAGCAGCAAACTGTGACAGGGCAGCAAAGGAGGGATGCACCCATGTACCAGAGCAACTTGTGCAGGCAGAGTTACACTGGCAGGGGAGGAGCAGGGAGCCCTGCGGGGGCAGGAGGGAGAACTGGAGGGTTTTCCCTACAGCCCAGGGGCAGGGTAATTTTTTCCCTACAGCTAACACCAGAAGAAGCTGGTGGCAGAGCGCTGACAGCTCCATGGCCCGAACTAGGGGACCAGCCCTTGCAGCTCAGCCCAGGGCTCGCAGACGGTGACATGCTGTGGGGAAAAGAGACCCAGTGATCCAGCACGCGAGGACCCCGGAGGCACTGAGCGGAGGAAGCCTGGGGCCCAGCCTGGCAGCAAAAGGGAATTGCGGTCGCGGCCTCACCAGCCCCCCGGGCCTCGGCTGCAGCCGCTGGGGCCCCTCGAGCCCTGGCTGCAGGCGGGGGAGGGACATTCCCGCTGCCCACCCCCCACCCCAAGAGACTCTCCCTGTGCAGAGATCCCAGCTCGGCCCCCCTGACTGGGATCCTGAGCCCTGCCCCCAGCAGTGCCCCATGGGGAGAGAAGGGGAGACCTGCCCCCGCAGGGAGATGCTCTTGGTGCAGCCTGTGCGGGGCAAAGGGGCCCCGGGCTGCTCCCAGCGGGGTGGCTGCAAGTTCCTGCCTCAGGCAGAGGGAAGCTGCTACAGCTCCCAGGGTTTGGAGGGGATGAGGGGGGGCAGCGAGATGTGGGGAGCCGAAAGGGGAGCAGGGGGCTGTGATAGCCAGAGGGCATTGAGGGGAAAATGGGAATTTGGTAGGGGGCAGGAGGGGGTTGAATAGGGATGTGGAAGCGGGGATGCAGGGGGTGCGAGGGGGCCATGGGGATGTGGGAGGGGGGAATAAGAATGCAGGGGGCAGGGGGTGGGGCCGCTGGAGGGAGACTGGGAGAACACACAGGTATCAGGGGGAGAATTCTGGGGTTCAGGGGAGCAGAGCTGGACTAGAGGGAAACTCTGAGTGTCTGATAAAGGGAAGGAAAGGGGGGGGGATGTGAGGGAGGGGCTGTGGGGAGACTGGAGGGAGAACATGGAGCAAGCGCAGACTGGCTGGGAAGGGCAGGACCAGAGGGCAGGAGGCGGAGGCGGAGGCGGGAGGGGGATGGAGAGAGATACAATGGCAGCTCCCCCAGGCCAAGGGGTAGGAGAGGGGGAGGGGGCTGCCCAGCCCAATCCTTTCTCCTAGAAATGGTGAAACAAACACTGGGGGAGGGTGGACACTGGCAGGGGACTTCTGCCTAAGGGCTCAGCATTTACAAGGCAAATATCCACCCACACAGCCACCCTGCTCCCCACCACACACACACCCTGCTCATTGCTCACAATTTAGTCTGGTTTCAGAGTAACAGCCGTGTTAGTCTGTATTCGCAAAAAGAAAAGGAGGACTTGTGGCACCTTAGAGACTAACCCATTTATTTGAGCATGAGCTGTAGCTCACGAAAGCTCATGCTCAAATAAACTGGTTAGTCTCTAAGGTGCCACAAGTCCTCCTTTTCTATATACACAGAGACCATGAAACAATACCTCCTCCCACCCCACTCTCCTGCTGGTAATAGCTTATCTAAAGTGATCATCAAGTTGGGCCATTTCCAGCACAAATCCAGGTCTTCTCACCCTCCGCCCCCCCCCCCACACACACAAACTCACTCTCCTGCTGGTAATAGCTTATCCAAAGTGACCACTCTCCCTACAATGTGCATGATAATCAAGGTGGACCATTTCCAGCATAAATCCAAGTTTAACCAGAACGTCTGGGCGGGGGATGGGTAGGAAAAAACAAGGGGAAATAGGCTACCTTGCATAATGACTTAGCCACTCCCAGTCTCTATTTAAGCCTAAATTAATAGTATCCAATTTGCAAATGAATTCCAATTCAGCAGTTTCTCGCTGGAGTCTGGATTTGAAGTTTTTTTGTTGTAAGATAGCGACCTTCATATCTGTAAAAAGAAAAGGAGTACTTGTGGCACCTTAGAGACTAACCAATTTATTTGAGCATGAGCTTTCGTGAGCCACAGCTCACTTCATCAGATGTGTACCGTGGAAACTGCAGCAGACTTTATATACACACAGAGAATATGAAACAATACCTCCTCCCACCCCACTGTCCTGCTGGTAATAGCTTATCTAAAGTGATCAACAGGTGGGCCATTTCCAGCACAAATCCAGGTTTTCTCACCCTCCACCCCCCCACACAAATTCACTCTCCTGCTGGTGCTAGCCCATCCAAAGTGACAACTCTTTACATAATCAAGTCGGGCTATTTCCTGCATAGATCCAGGTTTTCTCACTTCCCCCCCACCCCCATACACACACAAACTCACTCTCCTGCTGGTAATAGCTCATCTAAACTGACCACTCTCCAAGTTTAAATCCAAGTTAAACCAGAACATCTGGGGGGGGGGGGGGGGTAGGAAAAAACAAGAGGAAACAGGCTACTTTGCATAATGACTTAGCCACTCCCAGTCTCTATTTAAGCCTAAATTAATAGTATCCAATTTGCAAATGAATTCCAATTCAGCAGTTTCTCGCTGGAGTCTGGATTTGAAGTTTTTTTGTTTTAAGATAGCGACCTTCATGTCTGTGATTGCGTGACCAGAGAGATTGAAGTGTTCTCCGACTGGTTTATGAATGTTATAATTCTTGACATCTGATTTGTGTCCATTTATTCTTTTACGTAGAGACTGTCCAGTTTGACCAATGTACGTGGCAGAGGGGCATTGCTGGCACATGATGGCATATATCACATTGGTGGATGTGCAGGTGAACAAGCCTCTGATAGTGTGGCTGATGTTATTAGGCCCTGTGATGGTGTCCCCTGAATAGATATGTGGGCACAGTTGGCAACGGGCTTTGTTGCAAGGATAGGTTCCTGGGTTAGTGGTTCTGTTGTGTGGTATGTGGTTGTTGGTGAGTATTTGCTTCAGGTTGGGGGGCTGTCTGTAGGCAAGGACTGGCCTGTCTCCCAAGATTTGTGAGAGTGTTGGGTCATCCTTCCGGATAGGTTGTAGGGCCTCTCCTTCTGCCCCTCCACCCTCACGAACATGATACAGTTCTGTGGTGACCTAGAATCCTATTTTCGACGTCTCCGACTCAAGGAATATTTCCAACACACCTCTGAAGAACATACTAATCCACAGAGGCCTCCCTACCAACATTACAAAAAGAAGGATTCTAGGTGGACTCCTCCTGAAGGTCGAAACAGCAGACTGGAGTTCTACATAGAGTGCTTCCGCCGACGTGCACAGGCTGAAATTGTGGAAAAGCAGCATCACTTGCCCCATAACTTCAGCCGTGCAGAACACAATGCCATCCACAGCCTCAGAAACAACTCTGACATCATAATCAAAAAGGCTGACAAAGGAGGTGCTGTTGTCATCATGAATAGGTCGGAATATGAACAAGAGGCTGCTCGGCAGCTCTCCAACACCACTTTCTACAAGCCATTACCCTCTGATCCCACTGAGAGTTACCAAAAACAACTACAGCATTTGCTCAAGAAACTTCCTGAAAAAGCACAAGATCAAATCCGCACAGACACAACCCTGGAACCTCGACCTGGGATATTCTATCTACTACCCAAGATCCATAAACCTGGAAATCCTGGGCGCCCCATCATCTCAGGCATTGGCACCCTAACAGCAGAATTGTCTGGCTATGTAGACTCCCTCCTCAGGCCCTACGCTACCAGCACTCCTAGCTATCTTCGAGACACCACTGACTTCCTGAGGAAACTACAATCCATTGGTGATCTTCCTGACAACACCATCCTGGCCACTATGGATGTAGAAGCCCTCTACACCAACATTCCACACAAAGATGGACTACAAGCCATCAAGAACACTATCCCCGATAATGTCACGGCTAACCTGGTTTCAGAGGAACAGCCGTGTTAGTCTGTATTCGCAAAAAGAAAAGGAGGACTTGTGGCACCTTAGAGACTAACCAATTTATTTGAGCATGAGCTTTCGTGAGCTACAGCTCACTGCATCAGATGTATACCGTGGAAACTGCAGCAGACTTTATATACACACAGAGAATATGAAACAATACCTCCTCCCACCCCACTGTCCTGCTGGTAATAGCTTATCTAAAGTGATCAACAGGTGGGCCATTTCCAGCACAAATCCAGGTTTTCTCACCCTCCACCCCCCCACACAAATTCACTCTCCTGCTGGTGCTAGCCCATCCAAAGTGACAACTCTTTACATAATCAAGTCGGGCTATTTCCTGCATAGATCCAGGTTTTCTCACATCCCCCCACCCCCATACACACACAAACTCACTCTCCTGCTGGTAATAGCTCATCTAAACTGACCACTCTCCAAGTTTAAATCCAAGTTAAACCAGAACATCTGGGGGGGGGGGGGGGGTTAGGAAAAAACAAGAGGAAACAGGCTACCTTGCATAATGACTTAGCCACTCCCAGTCTCTATTTAAGCCTAAATTAATAGTATCCAATTTGCAAATGAATTCCAATTCAGCAGTTTCTCGCTGGAGTCTGGATTTGAAGTTTTTTTGTTTTAAGGATAGCGACCTTCATGTCTGTGATTGCGTGACCAGAGAGATTGAAGTGTTCTCCGACTGGTTTATGAATGTTATAATTCTTGACATCTGATTTGTGTCCATTTATTCTTTTACGTAGAGACTGTCCAGTTTGACCAATGTATATGGCAGAGGGGCATTGCTGGCACATGATGGCATATATCACATTGGTGGATGTGACGGCTTGTAGTCCATCTTTGTGTGGAATGTTGGTGTAGAGGGCTTCTACATCCATAGTAGCCAGGATGGTGTTATCAGGAAGATCACCGATGGATTGAAGTTTCCTCAGGAAGTCAGTGGTGTCTCGAAGGTAGCTGGGAGTGCTGGTAGCGTAGGGCCTGAGGAGGGAGTCTACATAAGCCAGACAATTCTGCTGTCAGGGTGCCAATGCCTGAGATGATGGGGCGCCCAGGATTTCCAGGTTTATGGATCTTGGGTAGTAGATAGAATATCCCAGGTCGGGGTTCCAGGGGTGTGTCTGTGCGGATTTGATCTTGTGCTTTTTCAGGAAGTTTCTTGAGCAAATGCTGTAGTTGCTTTTGGTAACTCTCAGTGGGATCATAGGGTAATGGCTTGTAGAAACTCGTGTTGGAGAGCTGCCGAGCAGCCTCTTGTTCATATTCCGACCTATTCATGATGACAACAACACTATCCCCGATAATGTCACGGCTAACCTGGTGGCTAAACTTTGTGACTTTGTCCTTACCCATAACTATTTCACCTTTGGTGACAATGTATACCTTCAGATCAGCGGCACTGCTATGGGTACCCGCATGGCCCCACAGTATGCCAACATTTTTATGGCTGATTTAGAACAACGCTTCCTCAGCTCTCGTCCCCTAAAGCCCCTACTCTACTTGCGCTATATTGATGACATCTTAATCATCTGGACCCATGGAAAAGAAGCCCTTGAGGAATTCCACCATGATTTCAACAATTTCCATCCCACCACCAACCTCAGCCTGGTCCAGTCCACACAAGAGATCCACTTCCTGGACACTACAGTGCTAATAAACAATGGCCACATAAACACCACCCTATACCGGAAACCTACTGACCGCTATTCCTACCTGCATGCCTCCAGCTTTCACCCTGATCACACCACACGATCCATCGTCTACAGCCAAGCTCTGCGATACAACCGCATTTGCTCCAACCCCTCAGACAGAGACAAACACCTACAAGATCTCTGTCAAGCTTTCTTACAACTACAATACCCACCTGCAGAAGTAAAGAAACAGATTGATAGAGCCAGAAGAGTTCCCAGAAGTTACCTACTACAGGACAGGCCTAACAAAGAAAATAACAGAACGCCACTAGCGGTCACCTTCAGCCCCCAACTAAAACCCCTCCAACGCATTATTAAGGATCTACAACCTATCCTAAAGGATGACCCAACACTCTCACAAGTCTTGGGAGACAGGCCAGTCCTTGCCTACAGACAGCCCCGCAACCTGAAGCAAATACTCACCAACAACCACATACCACACAACAGAACCACTAACCCAGGAACTTATCCTTGCAACAAAGCCCGTTGCCAATTGTGCCCACATATCTATTCAGGGGACACCATCACAGGGCCTAATAACATCAGCCACACTATCAGAGGCTCGTTCACCTGCACATCCACCAATGTGATATATGCCATCATGTGCCAGCAATGCCCCTCTGCCATGTACATTGGTCAAACTGGACAGTCTCTACATAAAAGAATAAATGGACACAAATCAGATGTCAAGAATTATAACATTCATAAACCAGTCGGAGAACACTTCAATCTCTCTGGTCACGCAATCACAGACATGAAGGTCGCTATCTTAAAACAAAAAAACTTCAAATCCAGACTCCAGCGAGAAACTGCTGAATTGGAATTCATTTGCAAATTGGATACTATTAATTTAGGCTTAAATAGAGACTGGGAGTGGCTAAGTCATTATGCAAGGTAGCCTGTTTCCTCTTGTTTTTTCCTACCCCCCCCCCCCCCCCAGATGTTCTGGTTTAACTTGGATTTAAACTTGGAGAGTGGTCAGTTTAGATGAGCTATTACCAGCAGGAGAGTGAGTTTGTGTGTGTATGGGGGTGGGGGGGAAGTGAGAAAACCTGGATTTATGCAGGAAATAGCCCGACTTGATTATGTAAAGAGTTGTCACTTTGGATGGGCTAGCACCAGCAGGAGAGTGAATTTGTGTGGGGGGGTGGAGGGTGAGAAAACCTGGATTTGTGCTGGAAATGGCCCACCTGTTGATCACTTTAGATAAGCTATTACCAGCAGGACAGTGGGGTGGGAGGAGGTATTGTTTCATATTCTCTGTGTATATATGAAGTCTGCTGCAGTTTCCACGGTATGCATCTGATGAAGTGAGCTGTAGCTCACGAAAGCTCATGCTCAAATAAATTGGTTAGTCTCTAAGGTGCCACAAGTACTCCTTTTCTTTGTGTCCAACCAGAGTCTCGAGAGCAACAGCAGGCAGAGTCCGACTGATACTTACTTTGGTTTGTTTTTCTGTTCAGTTCAGGCTCAGTCAGTTCAACAAAATTATGGCTGAGGGTCCATTCTCATTCACGTATGAAATACCTGTGTGAGTCCAGAGGGGAAATGAGATCAGCATTGACCTGACTGTCCCTGGGGGCTGCAGGGGCAGCAGACGGGGGGCTCAGTCATTAGCTGCCCCCAGCAGAGGGTCTGGTCATTGCTCAGGCCGAGGAGGCCGGTGTCAGCCTCTCTCTGAGCTCGGGATACTGGAGCCCTAGAGCTCGTTGGGCCTCCTGGGGCAGATGCTGCTGCTGCCTCCGTTGTGATCTGGGAGGCCGGGCTGAGCAGTTGCTGCTCCCCCAGTGGGGTCTGTGCTGGGACAGACCATCACTAAACCTCCCTCTATGGCCAGGCGACGGGGGACGTCCTCCTGGGGCTGGAACCAACCCCGGGGGCGGCCCTATGTGGTCATTGTGGGCTTTGAGTGTGGGCCCAGTGTGGCAGTGCCCTAGTGTACCCAGAACTGAATCTCAGAAACATTTTTCATTTTGATCACATACCTCTACATGACTAGCTGCATTGCCATACGCAGCTCCCTCAGCCCCAGTTCTTCTCACTGAGCTGTACACCCATGTGGGTTTACCAGTGTCCACAGGGAGTGGAACTTTCATAGTGATCAGGGGAACCACCCCACAGATTTATCTCCTTCCTCATTCAGACCTTCTATAGCCATGTCTCCAGTCCCACCCCATGTCACCAGTCACAGTATGTCGTCCTAGTCTCAGCTGAAAGTTCCAAAGCCAGTAGGTACCTGATCAATTCTGACAAATCCCTCCCTCAGCACCCATCCTGCAATTTGAGCAAGCCACTTGCAAACACCATTTCCCCAAAGTGAGGACTTAGCCCTCGGGAAGCTGAAGACACCAACCTTTCTCCCTCTGCTCCCATCTACATGCTAGTCTATTACCTGATCATCACCACCACCTCTCCCCATGCTTGTTTCCTTTCTACTTTGGACATGCTCCTCAACCAGCTGGGGCTATTCTCCCACTGCAAACCTGACCTGCTTCCTCCTTTCCGGCTTCCCTTGACATTCCTTTCCTATGGGTGATCTCTGTTCCTTGAGGTTAACTCCAGTTTCTTTATCTGCTCTAGCTTAATGGCCCGCAGTAGTCACAGAGCCACCTGCAGCATCTCTGGCTACAGCCATGGGGCCAATTTCCAGAGGCCAACCTTAGATAGCTGCAGCTGGTAGCAAGGGAAGGGTGGCAATTACAAGGCTGAGCATGCTTGAACCTTGCAACAGTGGCACTAGGGACTCTAAATCCTCAGTGCCAGCCCTAGGCAGCTGCAGACTCTGCAGTTAAGTGCTTCCCTCCTCTAGGCAATGGCTTTAAGTACCTGAGATGCCCATCACCTGCAGCAGGGGCACTAATTCCCATACACCCCTCAGCTAGCACGTAGTCATGCAGAAAGTGAATGATTTTGAAGGCTGGGGTGCAGGAGGTTCCCATCCCTGAGCAGCAGCTCTGCAACAAGCTCACATGGCCCCCTGCCGCTGTGGGACCAGGACCCTGTGAAGACAGTGGAGTTACCCTGTGTATAACCAGTTCTGTCCAAAGCCTGTTGAAGTGACTGGGAGTCTTTTCATGGTCTTTAATGGGTTGTGTATAGAAGCAAAGGACCCCATTCTCGACCCTGGGAGCAAAGCGCATTCTGTGCTGCACTGGTTTACTATGGTAACAGTATAAGGCCTCACATTACCCAGTGAATAAGCAACACCTCCCACAGCACCTAACTTTTTCTGAGAGGCCTCCTGCCCGATTAAGAACTGTAAACCTGCTTTGCTTACCAAGGCTGAAAATATCTGGTAGTGTGGTCACAAAAGCAAGGCTCTTCTGAATTCAGGAGGGATTTTGGATGTGCACAGAACACAGACAGGACTGGTTCCCGCACGGTTACAGAACTGTGGTAAAGTGGAACAATTTTCAGCTTGTGTGATTGGAGGATATCTGGATCCATATGATAAGACTGTCCTAGATAAATGAGGAAAAGTTGAGGTGCCTTTGTTATTCTTTTCTTCCGCTCTTCGTTTCTGTGGGGAATTTCCCAGTGCAATATTACTGTCTTCCTTTTAAACAAAAAAAAACTAAAGAAAAAATGGTAATGGCTGTTGAAAATAGCAATTCCAGTCCGAGTTAGCACTGGGAAGACCCCAGCATTTGTCTCTCAATTTTATCCAGTTTTTCTACAGCAAGTTACAGCGGATCAGCATTTTTGATTTGGGAGAAATGAAGTAACAGCAGCCTAAATTGAGCTTGAGCACCCCTGAATGTTGAGTGTGTTCAAATCGGGAAGGAAGGTGCTAGATTCCCCTTTCTGAATACTGGATAAATCTGGAAAGGAAAAGCCAATTTCTGCTTCCACAGCTCAGACCTGGCAATCCTCCTGCGGGCCTGGTACTGCACCTAAAGGTGCCCAGGCCCTCTAGCCTCCCCTCCCTTACTTTTCATTTTAACTTCTCCTGGTGGGGTCCCCAGGACCCCCCTTGCTAGGCGTCAGACAGAGAGGGGCACTGCTCACTCAGTCCACCCAGTTCCTTCCTTGGGGCCTGCCAGGCGAGGTCACCCCGGCGCCCCTAAGCCAGCCTGGGGACGCCTCGGAGGGCGACAGCGGGGCCAAAGCCTCGGGCAGGCCCGCTCCCCATTCACAGCGCCCGCACCCGCCCGCTCCCCCTGCCCGGCCAGCTGCGGCCTCGCCCGCCGTGCAGAGCGGCCCAGGGAATGCTGGGAAATGTAGTTCCCGCCCGGCCCCGCGGCCGGCTCTCCCGGGGGGGGGCAGCGGGCCAGGGAACTACAGCTCCCAGCGCCCCGCGGTTCTCGGCTCCCGGCCGCCGGGGGCGCGGCGCGGCGCGGCGAGGGGGCGGAAGCGGGGCAGCCCGGTACGTCGGGGCCGGCGGGGCGGAGTGGGGCGGGGGGAGCCCGGCGGGGGCCGCTCCAGCCCGCGGGGACAGCGAGTGGGGCGGGAGCTGGGGAGAACGGACCCAGAGAGCGGGGGGAGGTCCGTGGGGGCCGGGGGGGTTGGACTGTCTGTGCAGCCGGGAGATATACGGAGGGGGGGGTTAATTTCATCCCGTCCCTGTTTGTGCCCCCCCCCCCCCGTCCCTCGCTCGCTGCCCCGTCGGGAGGTGGCGTCCGGGGAGCCCCCGCCTTTCCCGACACGGGCTCGCTGGCCTCTCCTTTTTGCCCTGTTTTTCCCCAGAAGTCTCACATGGCCATTTAAAGCCTCTGATTTGGGGGGTCCCCCCCGGGGGTTTCCCCCCCATTTGATCAGCAGCGATTTGTCCTGGTTTAGGTGGGAAGTTGTTGCCCTGGGCCATTCCCCAAGAGGGATCGGGGTTCCTGCGGGCTGTTCGGGGGAGCCCTGAGACAGCTGCCTCGGGGATGGGGTGACCGTTCCCTGCTAGCAAGGGGCACGGCGGGGCACGGGAGGGGAAGGAAGGAAGGAGCGAGTCCCCCATGGAGCCCGCCCAGCCCCCTTGGTTCTGCTGTCCCCTAGCATGTTGTTCAGAGACTTTGTTACTGGGAGGCTTGAAAATCTCTCTGTGGGCTTAGCTGGCAGGGGGGGGGCCAGGTCTACGCTGGAATAAAGAGATCAAACGTTTTCCCAGCCTGGCAGAATCGAGGGTGTCTGTCTGCTGGGAAAGAACCTGGGGGAATTGTGGTGTGAGATTAACTGAAGCCTGTTCTGAAACCTCCCCCATTTCCCTTCTCGCCCGGCCAGGCTGCAGAACGACTCCACGTTTCGCTCCAGCTCATCCTGTCCTCCCAGGGCACAGGCAGAGAAATGGCTGCAGCCGATCCAGTTCAGGTAGGGATTACTGGGGGATGGCTGGGGGGTTCCTGCAGGGGGGAGAGAGGAAGCAAATACGCGGGCGGTGGGAAAGTTTGGGTCGTCTGCTTTGGAGGTTGGAGTGGTCAGGAAATTCACGGGGTGGAGAAAGGGAGGAGGCCAGGGTGTGGTAAACCTGCTGGAACTTGTTTAATATGTGGCCTAGATTCTAGTACCAGAGCCATGAGGTCCGGAGGTGGAAATGCCCTAATTTATAGAAGAGGACACAACCCGCCTAGTTGGGGCTAGGAAAACGGACCAGACTAACCAGCAGCTGCTATGAGATATGAAGGTGGCACCCAGCAGTGAGGCTTAGGGAGGTGACTTGGCCCCTCATATCCAGCTCCTCACAATGAGGAGGGTGTTGGGCTTCCTACCAAGGAGCTCTCCCTGGACCCTGCTAGGGCTCCACCTCCTGTATCAGTCTCTGGCTAGTAGGTGTGTGATGGATCTGCTGGGAGAGACAAGGGGCTCTCTCTTCATCCCCTCACCCTGGTGTTTCCTGGATGCTCTGAGTGGGGTGGGGGTGGGACTGTGGTGACTGCGAGCTACTCAGAGCTTCCGTTTGTTTGGCTTCTCTCCCCCGTGAATAGTGGGGTGTGACTGGGCAGCAGGTCCCGAGTGTTTGATTCTTGCTCTTTCAGGGGCCGGTGACCTTCGAGGAGGTGGCTGTGTATTTCACCAGGGCAGAGTGGGCTCTGTTGGACCCTGCTCAGAGAGCCCTCTATGGAGATGTCATGCAGGAGAACTATGAGGATGTGACCTTCCTGGGTAAGGGTTCCTATCCCCTCGGTTCTTAGATGGGGAAATCTGAGTTAAGGTTCACGTCATCCCCACAATGCAATCTCTACTCTGCACTGTTTCAGCATTACCTGACTTTTGGTTTTACTAGTTGGTGCCCCAACCTGGCCCCACCCCCGCCCCTAAAGCCCCACCACTGAGCCCCCACCCCAACTCCATTTCTCTCTGCTCCTCCCATCCTGGTGGCTCTGTCTAGCAACCACCCACACCCACATACTCAAAGTGGCCCAGGAGGTTCTCCCTCCTCAGGGTAGGAAGGGTGGCCTAGTGGTTAAGGCACAGGCCTAGGGTTCAGATGTTCTGGTTTTGATTCTCTGCTTTGCCACAGACTTCCCGCTTAGCTTTGAGAAAGTCACTTCACCTCTGGGTGCCCTAGATCCCACCTGCCCAATGGGGCTAATGCTGACCCAGCTTCCTAGGCTAAATCCATTCATGCCTGTGTGGTGATACAGGCAACGGAGGTATCAAGGTTTTGGCATTCACAGCACCCCTGGCAAGGAGTTCCGCAAGCTGACTGTATGTTGTGTATAGAAATACTTCCTTTTGTTTGTATCCCATCAGCTCTAAGACACCTGAAGGTGTATTTCCAGAACATACAAATGTTTTCACCTTTCTCCAGTGACAGTGCCTTCTTTTCCTATAAAATACTCAGGAATTAGAAATCAGCTCTTAAACACTGCAATCCATTTGTACAATGCATTTGATATTTCTCCAGCACAAGTGAAAACACACTTCAGTTCAAGGTATAGTAAAGATTCAAAACATAAAAACAAATTTAAAAAATTGAACTCACACTTACAAATGACCGATCGAAAAGCCTGTTTTAGCCTCTGGAGACTGTTCACTTTTATAATGTGATATAGAAATCCTGAGTATGTATCTACAGTGACCCAACTGGATGAGTCTTAACTATGCCTTAATGAAAATACAATATGACGCTCTACATCTTAAATGTTAAGAAAATTTGCCCTCTAAACAATGTCATTTCAAGGGCATACTCAAATATTATGGAAGCTAGTAAAGGGACCTGTTCTAAGGCTGTAAAAACAGGTAGAACTAAGAGCACTCCAGGAATTGTTTTAAAAAAAATATCCCCAGGATCCACAGACCAATTGAAGAAAGCAAACATTGTTATTTTGGGATTGAGAAGCAGAGCTCTGTACAATAACTTCCTCTGATTTCCATCGGGAACAATTGAAATGTCTATTTCACCAAAATAGGACTGAATTATTCTATTATAGACTAAATAGAACTGAAATAGACTCTTAAACTGACAATAAAACTGACTCGCTTTGTGGGAGAGCCTTAAGGAGATCAGCATCATCAGATCCCTTCTCTCGGCCAAGGCTTGCCGGAACCTGCTCCCTCCTGACTCATCCTATCAGCTGGGTGACAAGGAGCTCTTTCTCCAGACAGTGATTTGAGTGCCCCTCTGGACCCCGGGCTGCTTGTGTTGTTGCTGGCTGCGGGGGCTGGCAGGGGGGTTTCTAAGGTAGCTTAAAATTGTAAAATGCTACCTTAGGCACAGGCTCTCAGCTGCTCAGCTGGAGGGGGCATTTGAGAACCTTATTAAAAACCCTCTGTGTGCGAAGGGGTGGGAGTGGACAGAACGGTACAGCTCTCCCCTCCCGCTCCCAGTCACGGAGCTGCAGCAGCCTGCACAAGGGGGAATTTACATCTCCCAGCTGCTGCTCTGGGGGACAGCCCTACCAGCAAAGCAACTTCTAGCTCCTCTCGCAGCAAAGGGCTTCCGGATCCTCCGGTGCCAGCGGGGACAGGGAGCAGCAGTTCATTTTCTGGCTGTGCTAGGAAACTCAGGGAGGAGCAGAAGCCCTCTCTGCCCGCCCTAAATGGTGCCCAGCTCCCTCTGCCCTGGAAAGGGATCACCTTTCCCTGCTGGGGGAGCCGGGCGAGGAATTACAGCCACATACTGCTGCAGCGGATCTCATCTGCGGGCTCCGTGGTCAGTGGGTGAACAGCTGGCGTGGGGAGGCTGCTCCCCTGCCCCTTCTATGCCCACCAAACTGATTGGTTGGAAACAGTTAATCCTGCTGCCCTGGGACAGGTTGAGGGGGCCCCGCTGCATGCACAAAGGCTGATTTGTGCACTTCTCTTCCTGCCACAGTCACAGCTCTGCCGAGCTGCTCCAGCTGATCCTCTCACCAGTCGGTTACCACTGACACAGTGCACACAGCTGGGGGGCATGCAGATAAATCTGGTTTCCCATCTGTGGAACACAACAGAAACAATGACAAGTTCTCTTAGTCCTCTCTCATGTCTATTGTAGAGTCATAGATTTTATGGCCAGAAAGTACTATTCATCCATCAAATGGGGAGTCCTGTATAAGACAGGCTATAGAATTTCATCCAGCTGTTGCTGTATTCAGCTGAACACCTTGTGTTTGAATAAATCATCTTCCAGAAAGGCAGCCAGTCTTGACGTGGAGACTTCCTGAAATGGAGAAGTTTGTAGTTTGTAAATCTTTACACCAGCCTTACTGAACTATTTCCCATTGTTAGTGCCAGCTCAAGGGTTAAGGAAGGGGAGAGTTAAGGTTGTGTTGCAGGTGTGGCATGTATTTAAATGTATCATTTCCTAGTTTTCAAAGGTTTGTTTTTACCTACCATCCACATGCTGGGAGGACATGAAACAGCACTGGGCAATGTTAACGACATGAATGTAGTTCATGGGTATTTAATTACCTTGATTTTTTTAGTGGATTTTTTGCCAGTATAACTGTATCTACCTTAGAGCTTTTCCTGACACAGCTATGATAGTTAGCGGTGTGATTTTTCACATCCCCATCTGACAGAGCTATGCTGGCAAAACTTTTAAGTGTAGACTGGGAAGACTGTGTGTGTGGATTTTAGAGCACTTTAAAATATGATTGAACCCAAATATTTTGTAATCAGAGGGCAAAACTTTCAAGGCCGAACTTCTGCTGAATGCAAGAAAAATGGACAACATGTGTTGTCTGAAAGGTAGCAAATGTGGGGCTCAGTCTCACATTCATGGGTATAGCTCAGGTTCAAAGACCAGACCCAATCCAAAGCAACATCCAACCCTTGAGCCAACTCAAAGAAACAATGGGGGCCACCTACTAACTGAGATCAACGCCAAGTGATTGAGATCAATCGGGGGAAATCAGAACCGTAGTTTCAGCTCCAGCTGTGTGCAAGCAAATGTTACCAGAGCAAGATGATTTTGTAAAATGCTACCTTAGGTGTGGGGACTGTATCTTAGGAAGCTCTTTAACAAATCACCCCATAATTGGACCACAAACTCTTCCCTGAGTGCCCATGAAAAATTTGTCCAGCAAATTTCAAGGCATTCCGAAGAAACCTGTGGAATTTAGGGTAGTTAGAATAGTTGGTCTTTAAACAAAAAATAATATTTCTATTGACCTAGCTCTTGCCTCTGGGGGATGTGGATGGCCTACCCTGACAGGAAAGCCCAGTGTCTACCCTAACGCCCTACAGTTTCAGTGTCTCAAGTGTAGACAAGCTCTGAGATGCGACATTCAATGATGCCCCTCCCACCCCCGGCAGTCCCTCCTATTCCTTACTGCGCTGAACCCCACCAGCCCCTGCTCAATGGTCCCGGCTGTCCTACAACTCTCCCATTCTCTCTGGGTTTCCCTCTGTCATAAAGAAGCAGGTCCAAGGTAACTTCCCTTCTGGCTGGAGCCTTAACTTCCTGGAACATGGAGTTACTGCCTATGTGTTTTAGGAGCCTCTTTGCTGAGCAGTGTCTGGCTGTGTGTGTTCCCAGCAGAGACGGGGATAGTTAAATCCCTCATAAGCAGAGTCTCCTGCACCTAGGGAGCTGCCCCCAGGATTTCACTGCTGTAAAATGGGCTGGGGTTAAAGTAATAGAAACTTCTTTGCAGCAAACGTCCGTGAATTCCTCTGATCTCCCTTGTTTTCTTTCCCCTGAGCAGGGTTTCCAGTTTCCAAACCTGATGTGATCTCCCAGCTGGAACGAGGGGAGGAGCCGTGGGTCCCAGATCTCCAGGGCTGTGAGGAAGGAAAGATCCTGAGAGGTGCCTGCGCAGGTGAGGGATCATTAAACCAACTCGAAGCTCTCAGTGCCTGAAAGGAAACAGCTGGGACGCCCTAAAAGCCTCCTGAGCTCTCGGGGTTCAGGAGTATCCCCAGGAGGTCTTGTATCCTCAGGGCAGCTGTCGCTCATGACTTCTTACGCATCCTGACTGACACCTGGCAGCAGCTCCCTCCCTGAGGGGATGTGAAGGCAGAATTGTTCCCCTCCTCTATCCCCTATGGGAGTAAATTTACAAGAATCCAGCTACTTGGTTGCTTTTCTGTCTCTCCAGCTCTAATTTTGGTTTGTTTCCCCCTTTTCCATCCAGTTTCTGAGGTTTCTCTCTCTGTCCCAATAGGTTCTGGGATGGTGAGTGAGGAGAAGAAGCAGAATCCTCAGCAGGAAGATTCTGAGGAAGTGGAACCACGTGGGGGATTATTGCAAGGCTCCAGAGGGAACGTGTCCAGGCATCTTGTGCAGGGGAAAGCCTGTGAGAGTCAGCACAGGCCAGAGAGGGAGCAGAGAAACAAGCCAGTGGAGAAAGTGGGTAAATTCATTAATTGTCAGGGAACTCACCAGGACCTCATGGAAACCGCAGCCCAGCAGCGAATACCTACAGGAGAGAGAAAAAATACATGCAGTGAATGTGGAAAACATTTCACTAGCCATTCAGGCCTTATAAAACATAAGAGAATCCACACTGGAGAGAGGCCCTATGGATGCAGTATGTGTGGGAAAACCTTCAGTCAGAGCATTCACCTTATTCGACATCACAGGATCCACACAGGAGAGAGACCCCATGAATGCAGTGAGTGCGGGAAAACCTTCACTCTGAGCTCCACCCTTATTAATCATCAGAGGATCCACACAGGAGAACGACCCTTTAAATGCAGTGAGTGTGGGAAAAAGTTCACTCAGAGCTCAGGTCTTGTTAAACATCAGAGAATCCACACAGGAGAGAAACCTTATGAATGCTGTGAGTGTGGGAAAAGCTTCACTGACAGATCAGATCTTATTAATCATCAGAGGATCCACACAGGAGAGCGACCCTATAAATGTAGTGAGTGTGGGAAAAAGTTCACTCGGAGCTCAGGTCTTATTACACATCAGAAGATCCACACAGGAGAGAAACCCTACAAATGCTGTGAATGTGGGAAAAGCTTCATTCAGAGCTCAGCCCTCAATAAACATCAGAGGATCCACACAGGGGAGAGAACCTACAAATGCTGTGAGTGTGGGAAAAGCTTCAGTCAGAGCTGTCACCTTATTCGACATCACAGGTTGCACACAGGAGAGAAACCCTACGAATGCAGTGAGTGTGGGAAAAGCTTCACTCAGAGTTCAGCCCTTAATAAACACCAGAGGATCCACACAAGGGAGAGACCCTACGAATGCTGTGAGTGTGGGGAAAGCTTCTCTGTAAAGTCAGACCTTATTGAACATCAGAATATCCACATGGGAAGGATACTTCATCAATGCTCTGAGTGTGGAAAAACTTTCACACAGAGTTCATCCCTTAATACACATCAGAGGATCCACACAGGAGAGCGCCCCTATGAGTGCTGTGAGTGTGGGAAACAGTTCAGTCAGAAATCAACCCTAATTACACATCAAGCAAGGCATACAGGAGAGAGACCCTATCAGTGCTGTGATTGCGGGAAAGGCTTCAGTGTGAGCTCAGACCTCATTGTACATCAGAGAATTCACACGGGAGAGAGACCTTATAGATGCTGTGAGTGTGGGAAAAGTTTCACCCGGAGCTCACCCCTTAAAAGACATCAGAGTATTCACAGGAGAGAGACACAGCATAGAAACTCTGTGTAGGGCAGAGAAAAGATTTTAAAAAAACCAGAACACATTTGCTAATTCCCACATAGTGACCTTTTGGTTTGTTTGCACTATTTGTGTCACTCTGTTCTCTCAGATCCCTCGTGTGTTGCCCACTTGTGCCTTTTACAGGTCGCCCTTCTCTAGGGTGAATCCTGTGGTCCTTTCTGCCAACTCCTTTCTCCTGTGAGTCATTGGAGTGTGTGTCCTTCCAGCAAGGAGTTTCCATCAGCCCCAGGTGGGGGACCACAAGTAGCCTCACTGAGTGAAAATGGACTAGGGTTTTCTCTCTTACTGTAGGATTTCCTTGGAGTTGGTGTGCTCGAGGAGCTATCCTGATGTAAACACACCGCTACATTTGCAGTGCTGACATAGCCCAGGCACAGGGGTTGGGGTTAGCTAGCATCTTCCCCTTTGGCCTGTCCTAATGGACACCAATTTTCCTGGTCTGGACAATCCCTGAGCATCACGTTTATGCTGTCACCCCACTAGCAGAGTTAGTCACCAAGTTCCCCCTTTGCTGACAAAATGTCTCCTTCCCAGCTGTGCTGGGCAGCAGGTATTTTTACTTTTATCCGTTTCCTTATTGACAATATATTTCGATATAGCAAAGAGGAGAAGCAGGAGTAGGACGAATGTATCATTTCAGCCTCTGCGACGCTGTAAGGAAAGGGGGTGAGCCAGAGGGATTCCCTCCTTCCCCATCCCCATCACCGTGCCCACTCAGTGCTGGCACCTGTGAGGCACAGTGGAGTTTCTCCACCTATATTCTACCCCTCCAGCTCCCAAAGAGTCTCTGCAATTAGTATCAATTTGATCCTAAATCTGACTCATTAGAGCTGGAAATGAAAGTGTCCCAGACCTGGACGGGGAATTCCAATGGATCCCAAACACAGTGACATCATTCCGAGTTTAAATCCCAGTTGCTGTCTATTGACAAAGCCACTTCTGGACTTTTTCCTGCCGATATGAGATTCTTTGCAGATGAGAAGGTCGGCAGTTTTTCCCTATTACGATGATGATTCCCCCCGCCCCTCCCAATAACAACTCCATAATAAGGAAGTGCTGTTGATGAAGCAGGTTTGAATGGATCAGAGGAGAAAGCAATGGGGGAATCTGCTCTCCTGATTTCCGAGTTATCAGATGTAAGCTGATCTGGAATTTCATTTTTCATGAAAGAGAAACTGACTTACACCGCTCTGTGTTGAAGCTTTTTCTCTCTCTCCTGAAGACCATTTAGTCGCATAATCGAATATCAGTTTTGTTCTCCAGGACGTAGCTTGGATTTATCGAGGACTTTGGGAGAAATGACTGTTTGCTAAAAGAGTCCTTCCTTTATTTTTGTCTTTCCCCCCACTGCTGCATAATGACATTGCAGAAACTTTAGTGCAGTTCATGCACCTGGAGAGGCTGCTCCAAGCCATTGGGCATGCTACCAAGGAAACAGGAGTGGGTTTAGGCCTCCATCCACTCTGAAATGGTGAACAACAGCAAACCCCCGATTGCACAAATAACTGAACTAACTGGATGCGTGTGGCCTATTTGGGAAACGCTGTCCCTGCCTGTGTTGATGTGGAGAAAAGAGAAGTACATTTGTGAACTTGCCTGTGATAGATGCTCAAATGTGGACTGAAATGAACTCAGTGTTGAAAGTGAGAGAACTGCAGAATATCTATTTTTAATAAGTTTCCCAAGTTTCCCCTCCTTTGGTGGCTTTTGGGGATTCTGAGGCAGGAGAGTTTCTAGTCTCTAACTTACACCCTGTGCCACCAGATTAAAGAAACAAACTGGGCATGTTTGTAGAAGCCATTCCTCACTAACTCAGCTCAGATGTTGGGTTTGGTAAAAGACTCTGTTCCAGAGAAATGGAAATGTATCCTGACCAAGGCCAAGGATTTGGAAGAACTCAGGCTGATATAGCAGACACCCAGTAGTTGATTGTTGCCCTAGAGAAGGACGCTGCGGTGAACTACGGTCCAGGTAAAATTGTTTGTTTCTAACACCACTCCCTAGTTCAGTGTCACTGATTACAGTCCCAGCAGATGCCAGGGCTACATTAAAAGGTCCTTCACTATTGGGATCCAAAGTTCCATGATGCAAAGTGAAAAATAGTTGATGCCTTTAGCGGGGACTTCCCTTCCCTAGCCTGATGGAGCACCAAGGACTTCCATGCTGTTAGAACAATGGTAATGGAGGAGGGACTCAATGTGTCAGGCTCCAATTTCAGACGGCTGGAAGTACAAATTCTGATTCTGTGCTCTTGTCACTTGGTTTAGCTCTTGTGTTTGTTGTAGTTGTACCCACTTCGCCTCCACTTCCTGCTACTATGAACGATCGGAAGGAGTGAATATAGAGCCGAGGTCCTTTTTCTCATGATGCAAACCTTCCTGCATAGCATGAGCCCCCTTCCACCAACACTTCTGTCAGAAGAATCAGAGATAAATGAACTCACAGATGTGGAAAGCTCCTATGCTGGTGTAGCCCACATTTACACAGTGCTCGCTTGCTTGAAATGCGGCTTAAAATGAAACAAACCGGTATGATCAGATTTTATAATCTTTGACTATGTTCTCATTCCCAGTGAAAATGAAGTTAAACATGAAGTTCATTATTGCTTAAAGCCTAACTTAGTGATTACCTGAATTATATTGGAACCCTGCAACGCCCATTGGTTTGCTTTTTGTTAGTACTGTACGAAGTGATGGCTAATCCTGACAAGTTTATTTGATGTCATATATCCCCTTTGACTAGGGAGTTCTGACATAAAACATCACTCCAAGGCTGAGGTGGGGGAATGTCTGAGAGAAATAGCGTATAGGAGAACACAGACCCCATCTAGAAGACAGTTATTTCTATTTCAAATGGAATTTTTTCTGACAAGCTCTAAAGTAAAATTAATAAGGAGACAAGTTGTGTAACCTTTTACCCAATGAGACAGTGTGGGTCACTGAGTTCCTCTCATCTCTGCAAAGTGAAGATGTAGAACATCTGTCAGGAGGTGGCCACGGTTCTTTTTATGAATGGCAATGGATGCATGAGGGAGGCAGTAGGTAGTTTGTTTGTTTATTTTGGCTACCCATTATATTTATGGCAGCTGAGACCCCTTTTTCTTTTTTAAGGAAGCCCACCGTCACAGTTCAGCCTTTTAACCCCCAGGCCAGGCTAATGTAACTTCTAAACGGTCTTTCATTTTGGAGATCTTTGGGGTTCAAACCTCCACAATGCTTGTGGTTCGCAACAACCGATATTTTAAGAATACTGGTGGCTTTAATGGGAGTTTTCCAAACTGACGATAACCCAAAGTCTGCCTCGCTTGAAATGGATCAGGCGACGGTGTCTGTAAACGAGGCGTCCTTCGTTCCTCATATGCCCGGAGACTTCAGGGGAGTGACCGTAATGTGGGGTGAGCTGGAATCCTCAACCATAAAGACCAAGGTGAAGGCAGAAGCCCTTTTGCACCAGCAACCTGTCACATAAAGATGGACATTCCAGGACACCGAGACTGATCTCTTCTGGGGAAGGAAGTCATAATATTAGCAACAGGCTGTGCCAGCCTTGACCTCTCTCCTCGTACCTGAGAAAGCTTATGAATGTGGAGTACTGAGCCTGTGACCCCGTCACCTAGACTGCAGCTTTAGCTCCTACTCCATGGGAGTCCAAAAAGCTGCAGAGTTTCCATCACTTGTCATTTTCAATGTCTTATTGTTACTTTTTCTCATTTTTGGTGTTTGATTTTTACAAACTGGGTGTCATCCCAGCCTTTCTGTTCCACTGCAGTGGTACAGTGGGGCTCTGCATGTACCTGTGTGTATGAAACCTGTCACATCCACACAGGGAAGGAGCTAGAAACAAATTCCCAAACCTAAATAACTCTAAAATACTGCCCATCAAAATGATTGAATATGTGCTCCTCGTTCTGTGAAAATGTTTGAAGAAACTAAGCTGTCTGATATCATCAAAATTCTATGTATTAAGGTCTGTCTCTATTAAGTTTTTTATCTTTGGAAGCCATCAGGAGAAGGTTAGCCACATACTGGTGAAGTCGAAGAGGGAAACTCTGAGGTCATGGCTTAAATGTGAACAACCAATTGAAATATTCGAGCGGCTCAGCGTAGATCACAGTGCCTGGGTGAAGTTCAGTAGCTGAGATGAATGGGCAGAGGGCTCCTTTGTTCCTGTTTCAGGATTTTGAAGGGTTGTTTTTCTGCTGTATTATTCTGATGATTTGGCTGAACAGATGATTTGATTCCAAAGCAGGATCCTTGCTGACTGACTGATTTCCTGGTCTGACCTGTACTGTGTACCCCAGAGCGAGCTGATGGTGCTGGTAGTAGTTTAGGTTCTTCATTTTATTTGTTTTATGTATTTCATTAAAATGAACAAAGATAGCACATCATGTTTTCCAGTAAGCTCTCTTGGTCAGAACTGTAGAGAATCGGGGTGGAGATCAGCTGGTCCAACTTGGAGCCTTATCAGCTTCCTCTCTATTAACTCTTAGGTTCTCGTATGGGAGAAGCTGGGCAGGGGGCTCCCATCTAAGGTCTGACTGCATCCTAGGGAACTCAAAGCATCACAAGGGAAAATGAACTCCCCTATGCAGGCTTTCAGGAGTGGGGAATGGGTGGAGAGGAGGTGGGCCGGGGCAGTGTGTCTGCCTGATGAGGGGATGATTAAAGGGGGCGGGGTATCTCTCAGTAGGGTTGGGGTGATAGTGGAGTTCTCTGCTGTCACTGTCAGGGCCAGGCCCAGCCGTCACACCCATCTGGCTTGCCCTGGGGTTGTGTCTGGTCAGGCCCAAATGAGTTTGGGGGTCTGGTTTGAAAGCTTATAAACGGGGGCGGTTCTGGCTTGCTTAGCCCTATCCCCAGCATCCAGGCCTGGGCGAGGAGCGGAGGGGGCAGGTGGCAACTGCCCCCTCCCCAGACGGGTTCTCTCGGGCAATTGCTGCATGACTCTGAATGGCCACCGTCAACCAGCGTGAGAACCAGAAGCAGGGACCCTCTGCTCAGCCCGTGATAGGGGCACTGCCCACACCCCTCCCCCTGCTGAGGTGCTCATGAGGGGGCTGGAGCTCCGAGCAGACATTGTGGTGATCTGAGTCTGCCTGCCAGCCAAGGGGCATGTGATCCCTGCTCGTGGCTTCAGCCCCCCAGGAACCAGCAGTGATGTTCCCTCTGCTTTTCCCATCCGTGTGCGGAATGTATTTTGTTATGTGCACCAATACGGAGGTGAAGTGTGGCGGGGCTGGGGCCGAGGTATATGGGGTGTGGGAGGGGGCTCAGGGCTAGGGAGACTTTGGAGTGTTGGGGATGAGGGTTCTGACTGGGGTTGCAGGCTCTGGGGTGGGGTCAGGGATGAGGGGTTTGGGGTGTGGAAGGGGGCTCAGGGCTGGGGCAGCAGATTGGAGTGCAGGGATGAGGGTATCGGCTGTGGGTGCGGGCTGTGGGGTGGGGCTGGGGACAAGGGCTTTAGGGTTCAGGTTTCCTTGGGGCTGCAACAGGGAGAGGACTTCCCCCCACAGCAGCTCTGGGACTGGGGAGAGGTGCCTCTTCCTGCTAGAGCAGCTCCAGGACTGGGGAGAGAGGCATGTCTCCTCACCACACCCCTGCACCGGGGTGGGAGATTCGCTGCAGCTCTGCATGCCCAAGCTCCCGCATCACCTCTCCCCACCTCACCCCACTGCCATCTTCCAGGCCCTCCTGTGGCCACACCCCTGAGTGCAGGGTGCACACCTGCATGACTCTCCCAATTAAGTGTGTGGCTCTTGGTGGGGTCCTACGTGGCCGTGGAGGTGCGCACCTTAGAGGGAACGTAGGCTAGTGTGATTGCCTGCCCTGGCCAGGGACATGGGGCTGGAAGTTTTCACCCAGAGGCGACACGTGGGACATCCCCGACATTGTACCCCTCCTGTATCAGCAGGTTTGAGTCATCTCTGCTGGGAGAGGTAGCTTGTCCCCCACTGTAACATTAGGGGTGGGGGCTGACTCCATGGCGGATGACCCCTCTCCCTTCCCTACCAGTGGAGGGAGGGGAAATCCCTTATTCACTTCTCCAGCTTCCTCCTTCAGCTGCAAGAGGTTTCTAGGTTGTGTTAAATACACTGCGTGGCCGTACCAGCCAGCTGGTGGTTGGAGCTGGCTGTGCTGAAGTGCAGGTTTCAGGGTCCTGCTATAATAACCTCAATGTCACCATTCAGGGCAATTGTACCTGGATTCCCACTCCGTGGCCCACCAGCAACACCCACTCTTAGACTTCCAGCCTTCACCTCTCTTGGGGGGAAACACATATCTCCCCCTCTCCTGAACAGGGTATTTCCAGGCTGCACTGGTCCCATTTACATCCCACACAGGCAACGTGGCACCAATGTCCCTCAGATGGGTGACCTGTGCAATGTCGCATTGATCACCCACACCTTCCGCCTCCTGATGTGCCTGGACCCAACAGTAAGGAGCATCGTGGAGAGAGCGGGGAGACCTGTCCTTACTCTTGTCTCGCGCCTGCAATGCCTCGCAACGACTAGGGAAGAGGATCGGCTGTCACTGGATGTGATGCGGGGAGCACCAGGAGCTGGGACTGCTGGTCCCACGCATAAAGAGCTGAGCCCAGCATAAAGAGCCTCATCACCCTGACTGCCAGAATGATGCTGGAGAGGACCCTGAAGGATGCCATCTGCTGTCACTGCCGACAACTTAAAGCGGAAGTTGGATGAGGGCAAGGTTTTCGAGTAAGACGCCAGCAACCACTTCCTCCCCAGGGGCAGCTTCACCCAGTTTGCCAACTGGTGACAGGGCCCAGCTCAACTGCATTCCCCTGAGAAATGAGATGCTGCCCCACTTCAGAGCCTGGCAGTTACACCACAATGCCATCCAGGACCGACTGGTCAAAGCCATCCCGACAGCCCTGGGGGAGATCACCGTCAACCGTGCCATCCCCGGAACAGACAGCCAGCTACGCCCAGGCATCGTGACCAGCGAAGAGCA